AAACTAGTCCAATGTGGGCTAGGCAAAACTACGGTGAGGTGGATCTGTAATTGGTTAAATGGACGAACCCAGAGGGTGCTCACCAATGCTTCCTCTTCATCTTGGAAAGAAGTGACAAGTGGAGTGCCGCAGGGTTCCGTCCTGGGCCCGGTCCTGTTCAACATCTTTATTAATGACTTAGATGAAGGGCTAGAAGGCATGATCATCAAGTTTGCAGACGACACCAAATTGGGAGGGATAGCCAATACTCCAGAGGACAGGAGCAGGATTCAAAACGATCTTGACAGATTAGAGAGATGGGCCAAAACTAACAAAATGAAGTTCAATGCAAGATACTCCACTTTGGCAGGGAAAATGAAATGCAAAGATACAGAATGGGGGACGATGCCTGGCTCGAGAGCAGTACGTGTGAAAAAGATCTTGGAGTCCTCGTGGACAACAAGTTAAACATGAGCCAACAATGTGATGTGGCGGCAAAAAAGGCCAATGGGATTTTGGCCTGCATCAATAGGAGCATAGTGTCTAGATCTAGGGAAGTAATGCTACCCCTCTATTCCGCTTTGGTAAGACCACACCTGGAATATTGTGTCCAATTCTGGGCACCACAATTCAAGAGAGATATTGACAAGCTGGAATGTGTCCAGAGGAGGGCGACTAAAATGATCAAGGGTCTGGAGAACAAGCCCTATGAGGAGCGGCTTAAGGAGCTGGGCATGTTAGCCTGAAGAAGAGAAGGCTGAGAGGAGATATGATAGCCATGTATAAATATGTGAGAGGAAGCCACAGGGAGGAGGGAGCAAGCTTGTTTTCTGCTTCCCTGGAGACTAGGAAGCGGAACAATGGCTTCAAACTACAAGAGAGGAGATTCCATCTGAACATGAGGAAGAACTTCCTGACTGTGAGAGCCATTCAGCAGTGGAACTCTCTGCCTCGGAGTGTGGTGGAGGCTCCTTCTTTGGAAGCTTTTAAACAGAGGCTGATGGCCATCTGTCAGGGGTGATTTGAATGCGATATTCCTGCTTCTTGGCAGGGGGTTGGACTGGATGGCCCATGAGGTCTCTTCCAACTCTTTGATTCTATGATTCTATGGCAGAGAATTCTCGATACCTTCCCTAAACTCAATCCCAGGATTTCGTAGGACAAAACTATGACAGTTAAAGTGAAGTACTTACTTAGGCGATCCCTCAATGTCCGAGTAGGATGGTCCTCCAAGGTCAGTGTTTTGTTGGGTCCATAGGTGTCTGCGGAGCCCTATTCTTGATCTGCATCTTCTTCCACAGTGAGGGCATTGGTTTCTAGGTGGAAGGCGGTCCCCGTTGGGGTTGGCTTGACGTGCCTTCCTCTTGACACATTTCTCTCTTTCGCCCTCCATTCATGCCTCTCCAAATTTTACAGCACTGCTGGTCACAGCTGACCTCCAGTTGGAGCGTTCAAGGGCCAGGGTTTCCCAGTTCTCAGTGTCCATACCACAGTTTTTAAGGTTGGCTTTGAGCCCATCTTTAAATCTCTTTTCCTGCCCACCAACATTCTGTTTTCCGTTCTTTAGTTCGGAGTAGAGCAACTGCTTTGGGAGACTGTAGTCGGGCATCCGGACAATGTGGCTGATCCAGTGGAGTTGATGGCGGAGGACCATCGCTTCAGTGCTGGTGGTCTTTGCTTCTTCCAGCATGCTGACATTTGTCTGCTTGTCTTCCCAAGAAATTTGCAGGATTTTCTGGAGGCAGTGCTGATGGAATTGTTCCAGGAGTTGCATGTGACGTCTGTAGACAGTCCACGTCTCGCACGTCTGACACCTGATTCCACGTCTGACACCTGATTCCACCTTAAGCAGGGTTGGGAGGACAATGGCTTTATAAACAAGCACCTTGGTATCCTTACGGATCTCTCCTTCATTTAGAAAAATGCTGCCCTCGCAGAGCTCAGGCGATGGTGTGTTTCAGTGTTAGACTTTGGTGGAGAGGTGGCTGCCAAGGTAGCGGAAATGGGCAACATTTTCTAATGTTACACCATTAAGCTGTATTTCTGGCATTGGAGAGGGATTGGCTGGTGACTGCTGGAAGAGCACTTTGGTTTTCTCGATGTTTAATAACAGGCCAAGCCTCGTATGCTTCTGAGAAAGTGTTTAGAGTGGCTTGTAGGTCTTCTTCTGAATGCGCACAGATGACATTGTCATCAGCATACTGGAGGTCTCTAACAGATGTTGTTGTAACCTTGGTGTTGGCTTTCAGTCTGCTGAAGTTAAATAGCTTGCCACCTGTCCGATAGATGATTTCCACTCCGCTGGGAAGCTTCCCGTCAACAAGATGAAGTATCATAACGATGAAGATGGAGAATAAAGTTGGGACAATAACACATCCCTGTTTGACACCTGATTCCACCTTAAAGTGGAGTAATAACATTATTACCATTGTGTTTGACTCAGTGTGATGTAAGAGTATAGTATAGTGGTTTCAGTGTTGGACCAGGACATTTGGAGTCCAGTGTTTGAATCCCCATTCAGTCACAGAAACCCACTGGGTAACCTTAGGCAAGTCACATTCTCTCAGATGCAGAGGAAAACAATGTCAAGCTCCCTCTTTCCAGGAAAACCCTATTGGGGTGGGGAAGGGGTAGGAAGGACTCCCCATATGGTCCATACTATGTCCGATTAAGCATGCCACACACCAGATTAGCCCCAGAGTGTTAGTTAGTGTGGCCCACCCATGGTAACACCTTCTGTGTGGGTTAAACCACCAGCATAGATGGCGATCGGCAGTCCAAGCCTGGGTTGGGGTGAGCTCCCACCGTCAGCCCAGCTTCTGCTCACCTAGCAGTTCAAAAACAACAATGTAAGCAGATAAATAGGTACCACTTTAGTGGGGAGGTAAAAGTAAAGGTTTTCCCCTGACATTAAGTCCAGTTGTGTCCAGCTCTGGGGGCTGGTGCTCATCTCCATTTCTCAGCCGAAGAGCCAGCATTGTCCATAGATACCTCCAAGGTCATGTGGCCAGCATGACTGCATGGAGTGCTGTTACCGTCCCACCAGAGCAGTACCTATTGATCTACACACATTTGCATGTTTTCAAACTGCTAGAAGCTGAGGCTAACAGCAGGAGCTCACCCCGCTCCCCAGATTTGAACCTGCAACCTTTCAGTAAGCAAGTTCAACAGCTCAGTGGTTAAACCCACAGCGTCACTAGGGAGGTAAAAAGCGCCCTAAAAAACATGCTGGCAAAAAATCCAACCAGGAAGGCGTCAATGAACAACAGGCTCCTTGGCATGGAAAATGAAACAACAGCACTTCCCCATGGCCGTGTCAAGCACAGCCAGATGCCAGATATTGATTGATTTATCATATCAGGATCAAACCAAGGGTACAGTTGTGATGTATTTGAGAAAACACAAAATTTAGAAACTTGGCATTGTATTAAATGTCCTTTGACCATAGCTGGCTATTTGGAGTATCTCTGGTGTTGCTATAAGAAGGTCCTCAACTGTGTATGTGGCAGGGCTCAGACTGCTTTATAATAAGTGGCATGTGGTATGTTCTACCAGTCTGTCTGTCTTGTCTTGTCTGCCCCACTTTTTACACTGCCCTTTTTCTATGTGAAAATGTGATGTAGCACTTTGTTACGACTGAAACTACTTGAACCGTTCACAACAAGAGTCCATGCCCTGTATGGATTCCTTGTTGTCTTCTGCCTGTGTCTCCTCACATGTCGTGGACTCCACTTTGATGCTGGAGATGAAAAGAGGGAAGCGTTGCCTCTGTTTATGTACTATCTGTCTCTGTCAATTGTATAATGAAATTGAACGTTTGCCATATAATGCGCTCTGAGTCCCCTAGGGAGACAGAGCAGAATATAAATAAGGTATACTTACGCCATCACGAAGTTTAAGATCTTCAGGAGAGGTCCTGCTCTCAATCCCACCACTGTCGCAAACGCAGTTGGTGGGGACGAGAGACAGGGCCTTCTCAGCAGTGGCCTTCCGTCAGTGGAATTCTCTCTCCAGGTACATCAGGTTGGCACCTCCCTCCTGTCCTTTAGAAGACAAGTGAAGCCTTGGCTTTGGGACCAGGCGTTCAATTAGTGGATAGCGGTGATTGGAAAGCAGAATTGGATACTGTGACATTGATTTAATCCTCAGACTTGGATTTGGTTTTAACTGGCATGACTAATTTACTGTTTTAATGAATTGTTTTACTGTCTTAATATAATTGTTTATTATCCATTATTATAGTAATTATTATATTATAGTTATAAAATGTTGAAGCTGTTTGCAATTTATAAAGTAGATTTCAAAGTATTTATGCATGTATGCTTAAAATGCAGTAGCTATGTGCCGAGTGTAATGTATTCCTGTTTAGAAAGAGTTACTGAACCATGGCATTCCTAGAGAGGTCATAAATCAAGTGTATAGAAGAAAATGGACGCAGCTGTCATACACCACTCTGGAATGCAAGAGGTGTGGACTAGTACTGATAACAGTTAGTGTGTTCGCAATGTTACAATCGGATGGTAAAGAAGCAAGTTTACGATGTGCTGAGTGTTAAGTAGCTTCTAATGTATATAGCTGTAAAATTAAGTAGTTTATAAACTAAGGTGGCTGTGATTGATCTGTTCCTGCCTTGCTGTGCTGCCGATGCCACTGACATAAAATTATAAAATTATTACAATAATTGTTTATTATACGTTATTATTGTACGGTGCTTATGTGATGCTGCCCTGAATCCCCTCTTTGGGGAGAGAAGGGCAGCGTAAAAGTGTATGAAATAAATAAATAAATACTATATTATTTATCTGATTGTTAGGATTCCACTATTAATCATTATTTTGAACTTTTTACATGAATCCAATGGGATTAAAAAGTGCCCAACTCCATGTAGATCGGGTCGGTGTTGGTTTCAAGCAGTGCCTCAGTTGGCAGCATGACTACTAGTTCCTTCATGTGATGCATCTCTTGCTGCTTTATCATTAGCATTTATCCACTGATTTTTCCATATTTTTCCTTCTTACTAGAGCTCCTTGAAGGAGTCAATATCACCAGCCCAGTGCTGCTAATTCATGGGACAGTTGGCAAGCCTGCCCTGTTGTCCGTCAGATACACCAGCACCAGCAGAGATAAGCCTGTGATCAAATGGCAGGTGAAGCGTGACAAGGCCGTGACTGTGGTGCAGTCCATTGGCACCGGGATCATTGGCAACCTCCGTCCAGAGTACAAGGATCGGATTAAAGTATTTGAGAATGGCTCCCTGTTGATTCATGAGCTACAGTTGTCTGATGAGGGGACATATGAAGTGGAGATCTCCATCACAGATGACACTTTTACAGGCGAGATGAACATTAACCTTACAGTGGATGGTAAGTGTGGCTTTGGAAACATCTTAAACATTGGCTGGGATCTTCCTGCAGGCAAAACATAACAATGACAAAGCTATGCCATTAACACACGACACCGCCATGTAAAACATTCCAATGATTGACCTTTTAGAGGTTCCCCTGCTGTGACGCAAGCCTTGCTCTTATTTTCAATGCCATTTATCTTGTTGAATCTATTTCTTTTAAAATCCAATCATGATGATCTTAATAAATTTCACTTAAACTACATTACGTAATAAAATAGATAATTTTATTTTGTTATACACACAGATCAGTAAGCCAAATTCCAAGTGTTACACATATAAAACCTGAATAATTCAACAAATATTAAAGACATTATGCTAATTTACACTGGTGTATATTACCTTATCTCCACCTTCCCTCCCTCCCTCTCCCTGGCTGTCTAGCCTTATGTAGAAACAAATTCAGCGAGCTCAACACAATCTGTCCATAGTCCATTTTCCATAACATTATCATTATTACTATTGTCAATTATAGCTTTAAGAACAAAAAGCCTCCAATAAAGCTTCTGTACCTGCATGCAGCACCTCTCCTCTAGAGTACAGACAGCTTAAATGCTTAAAATGATCGAAAGCCCCCCCCCCCCCCTAATGGATGGATAGAAAACAGATTTTTTTTTTTGGGCACACCAGAGCGTGAACAGATATCGGCCCTCCCAAATTTGAGAGACTCCCAAAAATTGAATCGAGGTTCCCACTGAAAGCCAGGACACCAAAATGGATCAAGGTTTATCCAGATGGCACAAGCTTACTCTAGGATCATTTGTCTGAGCAGTTATACCAATTATATGTCTCCACGTTCAACATCACTCTCATCTACCTGCCTGTATCTCTAATACATATTCTAGCTCCTTATGATACTGTTACAAGTAATCTCCAGTATTAACCAAAGATCTGTAGCTGGATTTCAAATTGTGTTTCTTTAAAAATCTGCCACAGTGGAGAGAAAATAATTACAACAACAACAACTACAACAACAACTATACATCACACAGTCCTAGACACTTGGGAAGTGTCCAACGTGTGATCCAGTACAACAGCCAGCAGACTGTCTGCTGTGGACTCATCTTGTTGTGTCTCAAATAATAATAATAATAATAATAATAATAGTAGTAGTAGTAGTAGTTTTGGAACACAATATTCCTGACCTCACAATTATGTTAAAAAACAAAGTATGGATTGTTAATGTTGCAATCCCAGGTGACAGCAGGATTGAAGAGAAACAACTGGAAAAGCTGACACGATATGAGGATTTAAAGATCGAACTGCAAAGACTCTGGCACAAGCCAGTCAAGGTGGTCCCAGTGGTGATCGGCACACTGGGTGCAGTGCCTAAAGACCTTGGTCTGCACTTAAACATAATCAACACTGACAAGATTGCCAGCTGCCAGCTGCAGAAGGCCACCCTACTGGGATCTGCACGCATTATTTGCTGATACATCACAATCCTAGACACTTGGGAAGTGTCCGACGTGTGATCCAATACAACAGCCAGCAGAGTGATCTTATCTGCTGTGGAACCATCTTGTTGTGTTTCAAATAATAATGATAATAATAAAGTTTTATTTATCAGCCACCTCTGCTTAAAGCTCGGGGCAGGGCACAATGTACTGTAGTTAAAATACCTCCAATATTTGCATTCCATAAAAGCACATATTAAAACATATTTTGACATATATTAAACTATACAGAACAAAAAATAAAACACAATAAAGAGAGGAGAAGAGTAATGTGAAGGGCAGTCAGAACGCAACGTGGTTCAAAATGTGTAGAACTGTGATCAATCAGCTCATGCAAATGTATTGTGAGTTTTCCAACTATCCAGATCATGTTGGATTAGTCAAACCATACCTGAGTACTTCAGAGGGAAGCCAAAAGGGTACTATTGTCAGAAAAGCATCAGATGATGTCCTGTTGTTCCCTTTGCTAGGAATTTAGTTGGCTTATTTATTTTCTCAGTTCCAGTTTCCAAGCCTCACGTTGCCCTGGCGTCTTCCACTGTTCTGGAACTCAGTGAATATTTCACTCTGAACTGCACCCATGAGAACGGCACCAAGCCCACCTACACCTGGCTGAAGGATAACAAGCCCCTGAGCAATGACTCCCGGCTGATCCTCTCGCATGACCAGAAGGTGCTGACATTCACTAGAGTCCTCATGGCTGACGACGACACGTACAGTTGTCTGGTGGAGAACCCCATCAGCTATGGGCGTAGCGCCCCTGTAAAACTGACAGTATACAGTAAGTACAGCCAATGACAATATGTGGCCTAATGTTGGAAAGCTAAGATTGGTGAGATGGGAGGGGTTTCTTTGCTTATGAACTATTGGGTGGTGTGAAAATGGTCTGAAATCTGCAAACGTAAACCTAGCTGGCATTAGGTTCTTGTGGGTTTTTTCAGGCTATATGGCCATGTTCTAGAGGCATTTTCTCCTGACATTTCGCCTGCATCTATGGCAAGCATCCTCAGAGGCAGTGAGGTCTGTTGGAATTAGGAAAATGGGTTTATATATCTGTGGAATGACTGGGGTGGCATTGCTGATGGCACGATTCCATCATTTAGTTTTATTTATTTGGAGAGTATCAAAATTTGGTGTTTGGTGAGTCACTGGTACTTTCTGGATGAGGTTTCGACAGACCCCTCCTTAAGCTACAAATCCCCACATTCCATGGGGTATTTCCATGGCAGTTAAAGTGGAACTATATGGCTATAACTGCAATATGGATAGCACATTGGAAGAAAGGCAAGGTATAAATAAAATTAACAATTGTCTTTCACTGGCACTGACTCATTGGATGGAATGACTGCTGCCTAGTGATAGGTGCATTTTTCTGAAGCATTATGGCTATTCAAAAGTAATTAAAAAATTATTTACAGTATTTATATTCCACCCTTCTCACCCTGCGGGGGACTCAGGGTGGATTGCAATGTACATATACATGGCAAACATTCAATGCCATAGACCAGGGGTTCTCAACCTATGGATCCCCAGGTGTTTTGGCTTACAACTCCCAGAAATCCCAGCCAGTTCACCAGCTGTTAGGATTTCTGGGAGTTGAAGGCCAAAAACATCTGGGGACCCCAGGTTGAGAACCACTGCCATAGACACACAACATATATAGACCGACACTCAGAGGCTATTTAACATTCCAACTTCTGGCCACCAGGGGAGCTGTTGCTTCACTGTCTGTTTGTGACACTGGTGAAGTACTTCCTCATTCTTTGCATGCTTGCTGGAGATTTTTATGGCCTCGCAAATTAGTTAAATTAGCCTCCCCACATAAGTGGTATCTAAATTTCCTATTTGACAGATGCAACTGACTTTCGGGCTGCAAAAGTCGACAACAAGCTACACAAATTGGTCAGAAGCTCACTCCAACCTGGGCTGGCTTCGAATTCATGACCTTTCAGTCAGTTGTGATCTTAATGCAGCTGACTCCCAGCCAGATGCGCCACAGTCCCACAGTAATGCCTATGCTTTGGAAACATCCTTTCTGTATCATTTTCTTTTGGCACGTGTCCCATGGGCATCCGATTACCTCGGCCCAAAGAGACAGAGCCCATGATAGACTGTCCTACATGCTGTTAAAATCAGTGGGGTGCTCAGTTCATTGTAGCCCTCTTTCATTTGTTCACACTCCACTTCCTGGAGTCAGGAATCACCCCACTCTGCCAATGTCAGGACCAATGTCTTTTCTGCCATTGGCTCGAGAGCTTGAATGTGATCTTGAGCTGAGTCATGTGAAATGGGTCAGCTCAACTGCATTTGGAAGCTCTAAGCGTTTCCAACTGGCAAGGGGCAGGCAATGCCAAGGAAGGTAGAAGGATCTCCATGGCATCCTTCAGGACAATCACTTGAAATATTGCCTATAAAACTCAAGCTGTAGTTATCAATCACGGCTGAGGCTGAATCTCTGCAGAATGTATTCAGATGGTGCTCAGCGGTAGTTTCCCCTCAATCCCCCACATTATGAACTACTAGTTGCTGCAGGAATTGTATTTTTAGGGATGGGTGCATGGGTAGATCCACACAACATAACGTTACTATGGAGTTGTGACCAATGCTCACAAAAGTTTGGACTGTGACACCGAGAGCCTTCAGCCAGCATGGTCAATGCAGACATATTGCTAGCTGGAAGTTATTGAGTGTTGTATCTCTGAAAAAAAATATTATTATGAACACGGTTGAGCTTCACCAGTGCAAACAGCTCTGTAATGCTATGATCTTTGGAACTTAGCTTAAAGCATACTTTTTATCATTTCAAAGGTTCTAGGGCAGCATTTCTCAACCTGGGGGTCGGGACCCCGGGGGGGGGGGGGTTGCGAGGGGGTGCCAAAGACTATCGAAAACTCAGTATTTTTTATTGGTCATGGGGTAGTGTGTCCACAGTGCTCTCTGGATGTAGGCAAACTACAACTCCCAAACTCAAGGCCAATGCCCACCAAACCCTTCCAGTATTTTGTGTTGGTCATGGGAGTTCTATATGCCAAGTTTGGTTCCATTCCATCATTGATGGAGTTCAGAATGCTCTTGGTGGGAGGTGAACTATAAATCCCAGCAACTACAACTCCCAAATGTCAAAGTCTATTTTATCCAAACTTCACCAATGTTTGCATTTGGGTATTTGTGCCAAGTTTGGTCCAGATTAATCATTGAGTCCACAGTGCTCTGTGGATATAGGTGAACTACAACTCCAGAACCCAAGGTCAATGCCCAGAAAACCCTTCCAGTATTTTCTGTTGGTCATGGGAGTTCGGTGTGCCAAGTTTGGTTCCATTCCATTGTTGGTGGAGTTCAAAGTGCTCTTTGATTGTAAGTGAACTATAAATCCCAGGAACTACCACTCCCAAGTGACAAAATCAATGCCCCTCCAACCCCACCAGTATTCAAATTAAAACTTATTAGGTATTTGGTCCAGTAAATGAAAATACATCCTGCAGATCAGATATTTACATTACAATTCATAACAGGAGAAAAATGACTGTTATGAAGTAGCAACAAAAATAATGTTATGGTTGGGGGTCACCACAACAGGAGGAACTGTAAAACGGGGTCATGGCATTAGGAAGATTGAGAAACACTGTTCTAGGACATCTGTGGACACACAACTTCGGAATGTAATTAAGGTGGCAAACGTTATTAATAAAATAATGTTGAGCTGGTGAGGGTGCAGCAGTTTGCTCTTGCCTAAGCCAGCTAGGAAGGGCAAGATGAAATCCTGAAATCAGGACCAAACCTAAGCAAGAACCTTATGACCCTAACTGGTTTCTCTTGTCCTCTAAGACTTCTCTGTTCTTTTGTTTCTCTAGGAAGGAGTTCCCTCTACATAATCCTCTCTACAGGAGGCATTTTCCTTCTAGTTACTTTAGTGACTGTCTGTGCCTGTTGGAAGCCGTCAAAGAAGTATGAGCTTTAACATATTTTTGTGTCAATCTGCTATTAAAAATGCAACTCATTTGTTTAGAGACAGAGACACAGAAAGTTGAAGTCCTCAAGATGATAATAATGCACTTTATTTATATTCCGCTTTATTTATTTATGACATTTATATGCGGCACTTCTTACCCTGAAGGCAACTCAGAGTGGCTTATAAGTTATTTGTACATATAATATATTATATTATTAGCATAGCACAATATTAGTATTATATTGTACTACAGCAGTGTTTCTCAACCTAGGGGTCGGGACCCCTGAGGGGGTCACGAAGGGGTGTCAGAGGGGTCGCCAAAGACCATCAGAAAACACAGTATTTTTGGATGGTCATGGGGATTCCATATAGGAAGTTTGACACAATTTTATCGTTGGTGGAGTTCAGAATGTTCTTTGATTGTAATGAACTATAAATCCCAGCAACTACAACTCCCAAAAGTCAAGGTCCGTTTTCCCAGGCTCCACTAGTGTTCTCATTTGCGCATATTGAGTATTTGTGCCAAGTTTGGTCCAGATCCACCACTGCATGAATCTACAGTGCTCTCTGGATATAGGTGAACTACAACTCCCAAACTCAAGGTCAATACCCACCAAACCCTTCCAGTGTTTTCCGTTGGTCATGGGAGTTCTGTGCGGCAAATTAGGTTCAAATCCATCGCTGGTGGAGTTCAGAATGCTCTTTGATTATAGGTGAACTATAAATCCCAGCAACTACAACTCCCAAATTACAAAATCAATCCTCCCCCAACCCCACTAGCATTTACATGTGGGTGCATTGGGTATTTGTGCCCAGTTTGGTCCAGTGAATGAAAATACATCTTGCATATCTGATATTTACATTATGATTTATAACAGTAGTAAAATGACTGTTATGAAGTAGCAACAAAAACAGTGTTATGGTTGGGGGTCACCACAACATGAGGGACTGTATTAAGGGGTCACGGCATTAGGAAGGTTGAGAACCACTGTACTACAGTGTTCCCTTGCTACTTTGCAGTTCGCTTTTTGCAGACTCGCTATTTTGTAGGTTTTTGCCTCCCAGTTTATGAATGGTTGCCATTGCCCAGAGTGGTGTTCTAATCCCACCTCCTGGCAATGTTGGAGCGTGGAAGGGGGTCTCAACCTCCCCTTTGGGAGAGAGGCAGCCAATCAAGGCAGATTACAAAGCAAAGTGGAGATAGCTAGCAAAAAAAAAAAAGTATGTGGTGCCTTTAAATCTCTCCTCGCTTCTGCCTCACCCTCAGAACTCGATATAAATATATAGTGTCCCTACTTCACAGATTTTCACTTTTCGCTGGTGGTCCTGGAATATAACACCCGTGATAGGCGAGGGAACACTGTATACTACTATACTGTATACAGTATATATATATACTGTATATATACAGTATATATATATATACTGTATACCACTGTCACAAGTGAGGCTGGTGGGGACGAGGAGCAGGGCCTTCTCAGTGGTGGCCCCTCACCTGTGGAACTCACTCCCGGGGGAAATCAGGACATCATCATCCCTCCTCTCCTTCAGGAGGAGAGTGAAAACATGGCTTTGGGACCAGGCCTTTGGGCACTCTGGCAATTAAATAAGACATTCAGGCGAGTAAGACCCACAGGATTGCGAATGCTGGTCCATGTAGGAGGAGGAATTGGGTTTGTATTGGTTTTTAATGATTTTATTGATTTTATAATGGTTGAATTGTTGTTACCTGTGAATTGATGTAATTTTGTGTTGATTGTTCTGTGATGTAGGCATCAAATTGTGCCTTTATTTTTCTGTAAGCCGCCCTGAGTCCCCTTCGGGGTGAGAAGGGCGGGGTAAAAGAACCCCGAAATAAATAAATAAATAAATACTGTAATATATATAATATAAATATATAATTATTATATTGTATTATTAGTATTGTAGTACATTATAATATTATTATCACTATTATATGTGTATATATTATATTATTAGCACAGCACGATATTAGTATTATGCATTACTATATTGTTGCTGGGGGGAGGGCCTCCCAACTGATGACTCAGGAGACATGGTGGAGCTCTGTCTTCCTGGCTCCCCTTCTTCACTCTGGCCCAAAAGCAGATTACAGTACACATAAGGCAAACATTCGGTGTCTTTTTACATGAACAACAACAAACAATACATAGATAAGATAAAAGCATCTCCCCCCTTTTTTCCCCATCTTCGGCATCTGGAGGCGATGCTGAACTTCTGGCCATGGGGAGGTGCACTTGATCTATTTTTTTATGCTGAAGGGTCCTTGCTGTCCATAGACATCTCCAATCTTTTTGCCAGCATGTGGGGTACCCCTTTACCTTCCCGCTGAGGCGGTTCCTATTGATCTACTCGCATTGCATGCTTTCAAACTGCTAGGTTGACAGAAGCTAAGGCTGAAAAATGGGAGCTCACCCTGACTCACAGCTCCAAACTGTTGACCCTCCGGTCAATAGCCTTTCCTGCAGCTAGCGGCTTTTAACCATGTGCTACCACGGCCCCTATGAGTGCCTGTAAAGTCAAAGAAATGCCCCAGTATCATCCATAGATGCAGTTTAGATAGGACAGAGCCTCATTAATCAGTATTGATTAGGTCAATGCTACACTTGCTATAGAAGTAATGGAAAAACTAACCAGTTCAGAAATCATAAAAAGTTTTGAAAAGTTTAGAAAATAAAGTTGATCACAGCACATGTGCTGTTTGGACTGAAAGTTTTTGCAGTTATAAATTATATTTAAATACAAACTTTACTCCCATTTGCTAGCAAATAACAACATTCCGTTTTTACAGGAATTATTGTTCCTCCTCCTCCATGCACTTTCTTTCACCTGAATGGCTTTAACAGATTCTAGGCATTACAGTAGTTTCCTCCTTACACACCTGGCTATAAATCTCACAACACACAATAAACAATTCCAGTTTCATCAAAGAATATGGCATGCTCCATTCTCCAATACCCAAAACATGTACACAGCATGGTTACAAAGTATGGCAGGACGAATGATCCTGACAAGAGGGTTGGTTTGGGACTCAAAAACATTACTTTTGGATTTGCAACTTCCCCAGCTAGTGTGTCCTGGCTCAGTCAACATGGCATCGATCTCTTCTAAGCCATTTTATTCATTTCAGAATGGACTTTTCTTGGCTTACTAGGTCCTCCACTGAAATGACAATACAACAAAGAATGTTTTGCAAAAATCCAGTGATATCTTAGTATTTCAAGCAGGGCTAGGAAACATGTGGCCCTCCAGTGTCTCTTTGACTGTGGCTTCTATTACAGGGAGCTGCCGTCTAACAACAATGAGAAGGCCACTTATTCTTCACCCCTATTTTATTCAAAAGTATAAAGGACATCCTATCACCCACATTGAGCCCCTGGTGGGACAGCAGGTTAAACTGCTGAGCTGCTGAACTTGCTGACTGAAAGGTTGCTGGTTTGAATCCAGGGAGTGGTGTGAGCCCCTGCTGTTATCCCCAGCTTCTGCCAACCTAGCAGTTTGAAAAATGCAAATGTGAGTAGATCAATAGGTACAATTTCTGCGGGAAGGTAATGGTGTCTATGGACAACACCGGCTCTTTGGCATAAAAATGGAGATGAGCACCACCCCCAGAGTTGGACATGACTGGACTTAATGTCAGGGAAAACCTTTACCTATTACCCACATTACAAATTTTATTGAAGGAACTGAGGTAAAACTCAGAAATTAACAATATAGGGTGTTGTCACACTGTTCATTTATGTTGAGTTATTTCATTTGAAATCTGCTCTAGTCAACAACAACAACAATTTTTATTGATTAGCCAGGTGGCCTTATCAAAAACACACAGTGCAGACACAAGATACAAAATTGGCTCTAGTCATTTTTGTGTGTGAGAGTAACTGGTTTTTAATATTCTCTATCATATTCTTTCCATATTTCCAATTTGACACCATCATTTAAATATTTTTTTCCCCTGCATGAATGATGTCATCGCCAATTCTGGTGCCCTGCTCTTCGGTTCTAAATAAAATTACAAAACCAAAACCAAAACGAATCCTCAAAACAATGTTGCAGGGATCCATTTTAGTAAAATCATTTCATCTGAAATTGAAAGAGCCCCCAGTGGCACAATGGGTTAAACTGACCAAAAGGTTGGTGGTTCGAATCCGGGGAGTGGGGTGAGCACCCGTCTGTCAGCTCCAGCTTCTCATGAGGGGACATGAGAGAAGCCTCCCGAGTCCCACAGGATGGTAACGCATCTGGGCATCCCTGGGCAATGTCCCTGCAGACTGCCAAAAGTGACTTGTAGTTTCTCAAGTTGCTCCTGAAACACAAAACAAAATCCAAAATTGAAGGATTGTGTTTTGTACAAATTGGCTTTCAAAGCTTGGTAAACTAACACACCCTTTGGGGCTTTTTTATTTTAGGAACAAGCGGAAAATGGAGAAGCAAAGCTCCTTGGAATATGTGGATCAGAACGAAGAGCATTTAAAACATGACGGTAAGCCATTCTTGCCAATGTCTGACCCCTCAGTCCTAATCTACCATCATCTACTATCATTCGAACTGCCTACAACTCCCAGAAATCCCAGCCAGTTTACCAGCTGTTATGATTTCTGGGAATTGAAGTCCAAAACATCTGGGGACCCACAGGTTGAGAACCACTGCCTTAAGGGTCTCCCAAACTGGTCCTCCAGATCTTTTGGACTTTATCTCCCAGAATTAATGATGATTGGCCAAGACAACTCAGGATTCCAGTCACTGAAGCTCTAAAACTGGAGGACTAGTGTTTGGAAAGTCCTGCTTTAGACTCTTCTTACATTTCCTAGGTCAAAAAAGATAGAATCCACAAAATGAAAAAGCAACAGATTGTTTCGAATCTAGTTAGGCCCTTGAGCCTGACAGACTCTTTCAGCATCCTTGTTTCTTCTGTGCTCAGGATCCTTTTTTATTTGGATTATGAACACTTACTTTTCTTCTTTTGATGCAGTTGACATTGTTCCTCGAAGTGGAGAACATGAGCGCAAAAATCCAGTGGCTTTGTACATCTTGAAAGACAAAGTAAGTCCCAAGTAGTGAACTTGTAAGAGATGTGGCGCCATGGTATCAGGTGTACCTTGTAAGGACCACATAAGACTGGCATTATAAGAACTACACTGGCTTCTAATTTGCTTCCAAATACAGTTCAAGGTGCTGGTCCTGACCTGTAAAGCTCTACATAACTTGGATCCATGACAACTGATGGATTTCCTTTTCCCATTTGTTGGTTGTTGTTGAGTGCCTTCAAGTCACTGCAAACTAGTTTTAGTTATTTATTTCATCACTGCATCTGAGGAAGAGTTTTTTATGGCCATGAAACTCTTGTGAAAATACCAATTATTCTTGTAGGACCTGCCACATCTATATAAATAAAAATGGAATGTTTGTGGAATTAACAGAACTCAAAAAACACTGGACGATTTGACACCTAATTTGGACAGCATACACCTAACAACCCAATGTAGGTCCTTCACTCAATTTTTTTTGATGTTGTCATTTGGGAGTTGTAGTTGCTGGGATTTATAGTTCACATACAATCAAAGAGCATTCTGAACACCACCAACGATGGAATTGAACCAAACATGGCATACAGGACTCTCATGAACAACAGAAAACACTAGAAGGGTTTGGTGGGAGTTGTAGTTCACCTATATCCAGAGAGCACTGTGGACTGAAACAATGATGGCACGAATATTCCATATGCCCAAATATGGACACAGATGGAGTTTGGGCAAATAGACCTTGACATTTGGGAGTTGTAGTTACTGGGATTTATAGATCACCTACAATCAAAGAGCATTCTTAACCCCATCAATGACAGAATTGGGGCAAACTTCCCACACAGAACCCCCATACTTAAGGCCATCCAGTCCAACTCCTTTCACCAGGACAAGAAAACATAATCAAAGCCCTCCCGACAAAGAGCCATCCAGCCTTAGATATAGATAGATATAGATATGATTCACACACAGAGAGATATCGTATTATAGATTTGAAAGGGACTCCTAAAGAAGGACAATTATATGTTGCATTTTTCAGAGTGGGCAAACCAGACAATCTCCACAACACTGACAAACAAGAAGAAATACTGTTTACTTACAAGCATCAACACATTACACATATTAGAAACCAACACTTTCTCATTACTTTATTTTCCAAATCACCAGACTGGGCCACAGCAACGCCTGGCAGGGGACAGCCACTGGAAGAATTGACACCAAATTTGGACACAAAACACCTATCAGGCCAACGAGTGACCATCACTCATAAAAACACTGAAAAACGCAGCAGAAGAGACTTAAAAAGACAAAAACAAAAAAATACATTATAACGCATGCGCAAAACCACACACGCACACACATATATACTCACATATACACAGACACACATATACACAGACTTGGCCACAGCAACGCATGGCAGGGGCTGGGTAGTTTATAATACAATGCTTATTTGTTGCCAGAAGAGAGTGTGATGCTTCAGAGGAGGCTGCAGCAGTCCAGAGGCAGAGTCACACCTTAGTGCCTCCGCAAGAGGGCGAGATGTCCCCAGTTTGTTACACTATTTTCCTTCCATTCTGTATCTATAGTATATAGTCTCAATAGTGATTCATGCAGTGATCATTTAAATCAGCAGTTGTAAGAACAAGAGCACCTGTCAAAACCCTAAATGGAGAATTTGAAATAGATCATAGCCCATAAAAAATGAAGATAATGATTCTGGGATTTCATCAGCAGCCCTGACTGTTACATTCAGGAGATTGGGTTGTTGTAGGTTTTTTCGGGCTATATGGCCATGTTCTAGACTCTAGAGGCATTCTCTCCTGATGTTTTGCCTGCATCTATGGCAAGCATCCTCAGAGGTAGTGAGGTCTGTTGGGACTAGGAAAAAGGGTTTATATACGTATCTGTGGAATGACCAGGCTGGGACAAAGGACTCTTGTCTGCTGGTCATTCCACAGATATATAAACCCTTTTACCTAGTTCCAACAGACCTCACTACTTCTGAGGATGCTTGCCATAGATGCAGGCAAAACATCAGGAGAGAATGCCTCTAGAACATGGCCATGTAGCCCGAAAAAACCTACAACAACCCAGTGATTCCAGCCATGAAAGCCTTCGACAATACATTCAGGAGATTGTTTTTCCTCTATTTTCAAGAAGAAATCAAGTGAAATTGAGCTGCGGTGGCGCAGTGGGTTAAACCCTTGTGTCGGCTGGACTGCTGACCTGAAGGTTGGGTTGCTGACCAGAAGGTTGCTGGTTCAAATCCGCAAGACAGGGTAAACTCCTGTCTGTTAGTTCTAACTTGCGGGAACATGGGCGAAGCCTCCCAGCAGGATGGTAACACACTTGGGTGTCCCCTGGGCAGTGTGTCTGTAGATGGCCAATTCTTTCACACCAGAAGCTACTTGCAGTATGTTCTCAAGTCGTTTCTGACACAATTTTTTTAAAAATGCAAGTGAAAAATATGGAATGTATATTGAATGAATAAAGCAGGGCTCCTCAACCTTTTAAAACAGAGGGCCAGGTCACAGTCCCTCAAACTGTTGGAGGGCCGGATTATAATAATAATAAAAAAACATGAATGAATTCCTATGCACACTGCACATATCTTATTTGTAGTGTAAAAAACATTTAAAAACAATACAATAATTAAAATTAAGAACAATTTTAACAAAGTATTATCGAAGGCTTTCATGACCGGAATCACTGGGTTGTTGTAGGTTTTTTCGGGCTATATGGCCATGTTCAAGAGGCATTCTCTCCTGATGTTTTGCCTGCATCTATGGCAAGCATCCTCAGAGGTAGTGAGGTCTGTATTAAAAAAAACTCTAAAATTACAACAGCACAACAACAGAGAGGAAACAAACAAGGACATCTAATCACCTCTCAACAAAAGATTGCCCCAGACACTGGCAGGCCATCAAATGCTAATCAAGGTGGTCAGTTGAAACATTCACACCTAGCTCCAGCAGACAAGAGTCTTTGTCCCACCCTGGTCATTCCACAGATATATAAACCCTTTTCCTAGTTCCAACAGACCTCACTACCTCTGAAGATGCTTGCCATAGATGCAGGCGAAATGTCAGGAGAGAATGCCTCTAGACCATGGCCATATAGCCCGAAAAAACCTACAACAACCCAATTTTAAAAAATAGGAACTTATTAATATTTCAATGGAAAGCGCGGGCCTGATTTTGGCTGATGAGATAGGATTGTTGTTGTTATTGTGTGCTTTCAAGTAGTTTCAGACTCAGGTTGACCCTGAGCAAGGGCCGGGTAAATGACCTTGGAAGGATGCATTTGGCCCCCGGGCCTTAGTTTGAAGACCCCTGGTATAAAGTGATCCGTTTCAGACACTTTATACAGTGTTTAATATCGTGTTTAATAATAATAATAATAATAATAATCTTTATTTATACCCCGCCACCATCTCCCCAATGGGGACTCTGAGCGGCTTACATGGGGCCAAGCCTGGACAACATATTACAGCAAAATAAAACCAAAACATAACCAACAAACAACATCATCAAAATTACATAAAAAGAAAAAAATATGAATACAGTAACAAAATAACATTCCAATAAACACAATCACAATAACAGTGGGTGGACCACATGTACAGGATAAAATGTTAAAAGACTGTAATGAGATAAAAGTAGGAGCAAGTTATTTGCAGGGAGCTCATAAGGGAGCTCATCTCTTCTGATTCAAATCCCTTTTCAACCATGGAAACCCACTGAGTGACATTTGACAAGTCATACTCTCTCAGCCTCAGAGGAAGACAGAGGCAAAACCCCCTCCGAATAAAACCTTCCTTCATAGGGTTGCCATAAACTGGAGTTGATATGAAGGCACATTACAGCAATGTTGCATGCAAAGGACAGTAGGTGTTCTGCTTCAAAACACCTGGAGGGCCAAAGTTGCCTCACCTCTGAGAGATTTTGTACTGGAGACTCTTGCAGCCTTGTTGTGTTTGGGTCTTTTTCATAAGAAAAAGTATGTCACGAGACATTTTGCTAACACTGCTTAACTTTTCTCCATGTGGAACATGGATTGGGTGTAGTGGAGCATGGTTTCCCGTTGGTTCTGAAACCTTATGCCAATCCAGAGGGAACTATTTCTATTTGGACAGAATTCTCTTAAGAAAAAAGATTCCTAGTGGGATTCAAGGCACCTAGGGAGGGAATTCCAAAGTATGGGAGCAGCCACCAAAAAGGCTGCTCCCTTACAGAATAAGCCTGGGCAAATCTGTCTATCTTCCTGAAACTGAATGACTTCCAGCGGCATCATCTGTCTATCTTCCTGAAACTGAATGACTTCCAGCGGCATCAGTCCAGCTAGTCCAGCGCGCGGCAGCCATGTTACTAACGGGAGCAGGACGCAGGGAGCATACAACGCCCTTGTTGTTCCAGCTCCACTGGCTGCCGATCTGCTACCGGGCCCAATTTAAGGTGCTGGTGTTGGCCTACAAAGCCCTAAACGGTTCCGGCCCAAAATACCTCTACCGCATCTTGGCCTATGAGCCCACGAGGACCTTGAGATCGTCTGGGGAGGCCCTTCTCTCGATCCCGCCTGCCTCACAGGCACGCCTGGCGGGGACGAGGGACAGGGCCTTCTCGGTGGTGGCCCCCCGGCTGTGGAACACCCTCCCTGTAGACATCAGACAGGCGCCCTCCCTTATGACATTCCGCAAGAGACTAAAGACGTGGTTGTTTGAGAAGGCGTTTGACTAAGTGCTAAAACAATTGGCAATGACGATTGGAACGGAACATGGATAACGAGATTGGATAGTGATTCTATGATGAGACGTCGCGAATGATTTAGTGTAATTGTATTATTGATAGTGATGTTGTTATTGTTGTTTGTGATATTGTCTATATTGTAATCTGTTTTTATATGTTGTACACCGCCGTGAGTCGCCCTAGGGCTGAGAACGGCGGTCTACAAGTGCAGTAAATAAATAAATAATAAATAAAAATAAAATAATAAATCATATCAGCTGTTTATTCTTTGGATAGACAACTGGAGGGCAAAATGTTTCCTGCCCTCTATGCATAGCTGTGTCTAGCTGTGCCCATTATCGTATATTCTGCTGTATAAGACTACTTTCTAACCCAAAAAAATCTTCTCAAAAGTCAGGGGTCTTCTTATACACGGTGGTAGTTTTATACGCTGGGGTAGTCTTATACACGGGGTAGTCTTATATGCTGGAATAGTCTTATACATGGGAGTAGTCTTATACATGGGAGTAATCTTATATGCCAGGAGTCGTCTTATAGAGCTGGTGCTGAAACTTCTAATCCGGATTGGAGAATCTGTGGTTGTTGTATATTGTGGGTGGATCTCAAAAATGGCAGTGGCCACGTTCCTCCCATATGCAGCGACTGTATGAAAGCATTAAGGGCGACGCTGTATAAGTATGGTAGAAGAAAATCCATTCATCAGATTTGTGGACTTAATGCGGTCCCAATGGTGAGGTGAAGGGGTGCCTCACTGGGAAGATGTAAGTGAAGGGCGGAACAAGCTACAGGTGTCTGGGGTATGGAAAAAAGAGATAGAGTGCTTCTGGGCCCAGAAAAAGAACTCTTTTACCTGTCTGGCCTGCCCTTGTATCCTATTAGCATACCTCCTCCTCTGCCTCTCAGATCTCGCTCCTGAAGACTGCAGTGAAGCGGTACAGGTACACATGTGTGAGATCTGAGAGGCAGAGAAGGAGGTACAGTAATAGGAAAATTACCATGATGCTTTAAATTTTTTTATTTGGTTTGTGCTGGAAGAGGGGTAGTCTTATACGGCGAATATATCCCAAACTCTATATTTTAACTGGAAAAGTTGGAAGTCGTCTTATACGCCCAGTCGTCTTATATGCCGGAATATACGGTACTTTTCCATGTGTGCTTTTTCAGCGGTCACTGAAATGTGTTGGTATGGACTATGATTTTTGCTCCCAGCACCTGACTTCTTTGTTTGCTCCCCGTTTCCCATGAAAGGACTCTCCAGAAGGTGAAGAGGAACCCCGTCCTGATTCCCCAAAGGCGGCTGAACCCTCCCCTCCCAGCTACTCAAGCTCTCCGCCTCCTCCTGGGAGATCGCCTGGACTGCCCGTTCGGTCTGTGCGTAGATACCACCGCTCCCCAGTCCGGTCTCCAGCCAGCTCCAGAACACACATATCCCCCACCCGGTCCCCCAACTCACCGGGGCGCACCCCAAACACCACGCGCATGGTGCGGACTGCTGGGGTTCATATCGTCCGGGAGCAGCAAGGGGAGGGAAGCACGGTGGAAATCAATGCGTGAAGGCTGTCTGCAGTCGTACTACTGTGTACATTTGTGTATATAGCGAGGAAGCCTCGCCGTGCCTGTGAATGTTTCTGGGGGTAGCTTTGGGTTGGCCCTGGGCATTTTTGCACATGCAAATGTGTGTTATAGGGGAGACTCCTGGGCTCCACTTGTAGATAAAGGTGGGCATCACACAGCATTCTTTTGGCTTGTTGGACCCACTTTACAAGGTTTATGATAGATTCAATGCTCTTGCTTCTGTACATTGTTAAAGGCACTAACCTGCAATTTGTTGTAACATCCAAGGAGTAGCACACAGGTGTTGCTAAAACCTTTCCTTCTGAGAGCGAGACCCCACTAATTCCTATTAAGCCCAATATTTTCTGTCCAAACCTCATCATGAGTGGGAGAATGCATCCAGTGGGAATTCATCTGTCCCAACGCTTACCAGTGGTCTTTAACATTGCCAAGATTGTCTTCAAGTATTCTTATCCAGTGGCATAGCCAGACTCCGACTTATTGGTCTTCAGTCCTGCCGGCACAAGGGTTTAACCCAGTGTTTCTCAACCTTCCTAATGCCATGACCCCTTAATACACCTCTTCATGTTGTTGTGACCCCCAACCATAACATTATTTTTGTTGCTACTTCATAACTGTAATTTTGCTACTGTTATGAATCGTCATGTAAATATCTGATATGCAGGATGTATTTTCATTCACTGGACCAAATTTGGCACAAATACCCAATACGTCCAAATTTGAATATTGGTGGGGTTGAGGGGGGATTGATTTTGTCATTTGGGAGTTGTAGTTGCTGGGATTTATAGTCCACCTACAATCAAAGAGCATTCCGAACTCCAGCAATGATGGAATTGGACCAAACTTGGTGCACAGAAGTCCCATGACCAACAGAAAATACTGGAAAGGTTTGGTGGGCATTGACCTTGAGTTTTGGAGTTGTAGTTCACCTACATCCAGACAGCATTGTGGACTCAAACAATGATGACTCTGGACCAAACTTGGCACAGATACTCAATATGCCCAAAAGTGAACACTGGTGGAGTTTGGGAAAAATAGACCTTGACATTTGGGAGTTGTAGTTTCTGGGACTTACAGTTCACCTTCAATCAAAGAGCATTCTGAACCCCATTCTGAACGATATAATTGGGCCCAACTTCCCACACAGAATCCTCATGGCCAACAGAAAATACTGTTTTCTGGTGGTTTTTGGTGACCCCTCTGACACCTCCCTTGTGACCCCCCTAGGGGTCCTGACCCCCAGGTTGAGAAAAGCTGGTTTAACCCATTGCGCCACCGGGGGCTCTGGGGAGAGTGCGGATGAGTTCCCTCTGTCAGCTCCAGCTCCCCATACGGGGACATGAGAGAAGCCTCCCACAATGAGGGTAAAACATCAAAAACATCTGGGCATCCCCTGGGCAATGTCCTTGCAGATGGCCAATTCCCTCACACCAGAAGCGACTTGCAGTTTCTCAAGTTGCTCGTGACACATACACAAAAAAATAAAAAATCCGGATTGATTAAAAAGACCAGAAAATCCAAAATTTTATTTTGGCGATAATCTCAGAACTTTTTCTTTGAGCTCCCGGTGCAACTATATACGAAAGAGGAAAGAAAGAAAATCAAATGACTTTGCAGGGTAATTATTTAACTTTCTTTGCAAGGCACCCTCTTTATTACCGCTATTAGCATCATATTCAAATTGTATATATTGACATAATTATGTGTTTGGGACATTTCAGTTGGAAGTGTCAGCAACTTTTCGCATTTCTCCCTCAGAAATTGCCATGTTGACCAGTCCTATAGTATTTACTTCTAGGTGCAATATTGTTAATGTTTTAAATTGTAATTATTGTATTCCTTCTAGTAAGGCTGTTTTTTGGCAGTTAGACACGTGAGTTTCACTCTTCATAAAATGGATGTAATTTAAATGGTGATATATAAGTTTAATAGTAGTACTATTGAACCATGAAATGCTTTCAAAGGTAAACATTTTGTCAATATAACCCAGTATGAAATCTTAAAGAACAAGAACAAAATCTGGGATTTTTTTTTCAATCAGTTTGCATGTATTGTTAGGATTCGCCCAGCTATGGACACTTGCTATCAGAAAGATAAGTATCAAAAAGTGATATTCTGTTTCATTATCTTCTCGTGACATATAGGCTAGAGTAAAGATAAGTAAGATAAGTAACAACTGGAAAGTAGAGGGAGAAAATGTGGAGGCCGTGACAGACTTTGTATTTCTAGGCGCAAAGATTATGCAGATGCAGACTGTGGCCAGGAAATCAAAAGACGCTTACTTCTTGGGAGGAGAGCAATGTCCAGTCTCGATAAAATAGTAAAGAGTAGAGACATCACACTGGCAACAAAGATCCGCAGTCAAAGCCATTGTATTCCCTGTAGTAACCTACAGATGTGAGAGCTGGACCTTAGGGAAGGCTGAGCGAAGGAAGAGATGCTTTTGAACTGTGGTGTTGGAGGAAAGTTCTGAGAGTGCCTTGGACTGCGAGAAGATCCAACCAGTCCATCCTCCAGGAAATAAAGCCCGACTGCTCATTGGAGGGAAGGATACTAGAGACAAAGTTGAAGTACTTTGGCCACATCATGAGGAGACAGCAAAGCCTAGAGAAGACAATTATGCTGGGGAAAGTGGAAGGAAAAAGGAAGAGGGGCCGACCAAGGGCAAGGTGGATGGATGGCATCCTTGAAGTGACTGGACTGACCTTGAAGGAGCTGGGGGTGGTGACGGCCGACAGGGAGCTCTGGCGTGGGCTGGTCCATGAGGTCACGAAGAGTCGGAGACGACTGAACGAATGAACAACAACAACAAAGATAAGTAAGCTTCACAATGCAATCTGCATGGGACATGAGCAAACTGGCTGTTAGGAATTGTGGGAGTTGAAATCCAAAACACATGGAGGGCCAAATTTTCCCATGCCTGATCTACACTCTTCTTTTCTCCAACACTAAGACCTTCCTCTCCTGCTATCCAGAACTAGGTAGAAAGCACCAGGAACAGACTTCATGCTAAGCTGAAACATTTGTGATCAATACTAATAGCAAGGCTGGGGTAAAAATTGCTGGAAGAAACATTAACAACCTTAGATATGCAGATGATACCACTTTGATGGTTGAAAGCGAGGAGGAGCTGAGGAGCCTTCTAATCAAGGTGAAAGAAGAAAGCGCAAAAGCTGGGTTGCAGTTAAACATAAAAAAACCAAGATTATGGCAACCAGACTGATTGACAACTGGCAAATAAAGGGAGAAAACATGGAGGCAGTGACAGACTTTGTATTTCTAGGTGCAAAGATGACTGCAGACACAGACTGCAGTCAGAAAATGAGAAGATGCTTACTTCTTGGGAGGAGAGCAATGTCCAATCTCGATAAAATAGTGAAGAGTAGAGACATCACACTGGCATCGAAGATCCGCATAGTAAATGCAATGGTATTCCCTGTAGTCACCTATGGATGTGAGAGCTGGACCTTAGGGAAGGCTGAGCAAAGGATGATAGATGCTTTTGAATTGTGTTGGAGGAAAGTACTGAGAGTGCCTTGGACCACCAGAAGATCCAACCAGTCCATCCTCCAGGAAATAAAGGAAGGAAAGGAAAAAGGAAGAGGGGCCAACCAAGGGCAAGATGGATGGATGGCATCCTTGAAGTGACTGGCTTGACCTTGAAGGAGCTGGGGGAGGTGACGGCTGACAGGGAGCTCTGGCGTGGGCTGGTCCATGAGGTCACAAAGAGTTGGAAATGAATGAACAAATGAACAACAACAATCATATCCTTTCCACATTTATAGTTTGATACCATCAGGGAGCTCTGACTTGGTTCATGAGGTCACGAAGAGTCAGAAGTGACTTAACGAATGAACAACAACACTAAAAACAAGCTTGTAAGTCCTTTTACAGAAGGAAAATGCACTTCTGACTTTCTGATTTGTTAATTTTGAGCAACCAGGGGCCCCTGGTGACGCAGTGGATTAAACCCACTTCTGATCTTGCTGCCTGAAAGGTCGGCAGTTCAAATCCAGGGAGCAGGGTTAGCTCTTGCTGTTAGCCCCAACTTCTGCCAGCCTAGCAGTTTGAAAACATGCAAATGTGAGTAGACCAATGGGTATCACTTCGGCGGGAAGATAACGGTGCCCTATGAATTCATGCTGGGTACATGACCTTGGAGGTGTCTACGGACAATGCCGGCTCTTTGGCTTAGAAATGGAAATGAGCACCACCACCACCCCCTCCCCCAGATTCGGACACAACTAGACTTAATGTCAAGAGGCAACCTTTAACTAATATTTGGGAAGTGTGTTAGAGTCCAGCATTGAGAATGGTGACCCTAGGCATGTATAGAGTGAGGAAAAATAGCTGCTTTGCCCCTTTCCATCTCTGGTGTCTGGAGGCAATGCTCAGCTCTGGCTGTGGGGAGGTGCTCTTGTTCCATTTTACATGCTGAGGAGCCTGTTGTCGGTAGACCTAGTTGTGTTTGCCAGCATGACTGCATGGGCAGCTTTTACCTTCCTGCAAAGGTGGTGCCTATTGTTCTACTGACATTGCACATTTTTGAACTGCTAGATTGGCAGAAGCTAGGGCTAACAGCTGGAGCTCACTCTGATCCATGGCTTCGAACTGCTAACTTCTGGTCAGCAAGTTTTCTGCAGCTAGTGGTTTAATCTGCTGAGCTACTACAGTCCCTCTTTGCCAGACGTAACCCTTTTTCTCTCTCCTGCGTAGGTGCTTGCATAGATGCTTATGTTGGATTCTCAATTCAATTTATCCATAGCTTGGAAGAAATTCTTTTTTCGTCTATAATTCCATGCTGCCAGGAGGGTTTTAGCACCTGTTGTCCAAAACAATTGTTTTTCCAGCTCTAAATGTATCTAGACAAACATATACTCAGGCCTATTTGCAAAGTCAGTGTGGGTGACAGTAGATGGCAATGTTGTACAAAGTGATGCTCTATGTTATTCAGCCTCTTAGGAGGCTTTTGCCCTGTAGAATTATTCCAGTTGGATACCGTAATTGCCCGAGCTCTATACAATGGAATCTTGGGAGTTGTAGTTTGGTGAAGCATCTACACTGCACAATGAACTCCCATGATCTACAGATCCCAGGGGTTCATAAAAAGCAACAAATTGTCTTTTGATGTTTTGATTTTAGTTGGCATCAAGTGCAAGGATTATTGTGTGTCATCTACCAATCAGTAAACCCTATTATATAGCGCAACTATGGGCAAACTTGGGCCCTCCGGTAGGCTGTTAGGAATTGTGGGAGTTGAAGTCCAAAACACCTGGAGGGCCCAAGTTTGCCCATGCCTGATATAGCATATGGAAGAAATTAATTGGTATTGCATGTCAGCAATCCAGTGCAGCCGAATATGAAATCCTATTAATGACATATGAAATATTGAGGCATACTATCCAACAAATATTGACCACTATTATCAAATCAAATCATTTATTTTGGTCATAGACCAGCATAGGCAACAAAAGTCACACTTTCATACGAACTTGGTACATTTAGTACATTTAAGACTGCCACCTTCTCGTGGTGAGGAGGCTTGCATGTTCCAATGAATCTGCAGGCACAGCGATGGGAGTCGTGCACTTCCAGGAGTGGCCTCAGGGGAGGATCCAGACCAAGCACAGACCAAAGACACAAAGGCCGGAGCAGGCAGATGATAACATGGTACATGTTACAACGGCTGTGAAGGCAGAAGAAAGCTGCAACAGATTCAGAAGCCATGGTCGTCGTGTTAAACTATGCCACCAGTGGAACCTCACTCTGTGAAGACTGTGTTGATCAGTTGTACACTGACCTCCACACAATAAAAAAAAACTCACTCACAGGCATCTTCCAAGGATAAATACTGAAGGACAATAAGGGGTGAGGGAACGGAAGGGGAAACAGAATGAAAACATACAATACACAGGTCTATCAGCAAATTATAGAACCAAGGAAGATGATTACTGCATACATAGTTAACTTTTGGGACCAAACATCCCCTGACGGATTTTGTATGCTGCTGTACAAAACTTTGCAATATTGTAGGTTGTAGCTGAATTAGTATCTACAAGTAGCAGGGAGATATAAAATTTCCCTGAACTGCTGGGTGCTTCTATATCAGAGGTAAGATAAGCCTGGCACAGATACCCCTTGTTGCAACCCAGATCAGGAAACAAGATCCATAAGATATTAATCCACCACACTTGACTGTAGGAAAAAACAATCCTTTTTTATTGATTAAAAAATGGTTACAAAATAGAGGAAAATACAAAGTCCAAAAAGCCACAGTAAATA